TGTTGTACTCCAATGCTCAGAAATAAAACAAAAAGGACCCACTGCTGTGTGCAAAATCAACTTTCCCTTCTGGTGGTGGAAAGTTGAAATAGACTTGAGCTATTTTGAAATACCTAGGCACACTTAAGCAAGTTAATGGTGATGTAATTAAAATTTAATGGTACATACATATTTATAAATGGCTTAATTCCTCAGTTAAAAAATGTCGATTGATAATATGCAAAGTGGCTATTCTGCACCTGAACTCAATTATTCCATCTTTAGCATGTCTTTGTCATTCCTTTTCTAGAGAAGAACCAAAGAAGATACTTGGAAATCAGATGAACTTAAGAAACATCTTAGGGTAAACATCTTTTGTAAATGTATAGAATCAATTTAGGCCTTTTCTGGACTACTTTCTTTTGTAAAATGAATGTGACTAATGTTATATTTTAGGATGCAAAGACATCCCAGTCCTCCCAGCTCAGATTTAATTGGATTTGTGGGAGAATTTCAACATCATATTTCAGAAAAGCAATCTTCTGATACTCAGGAAACAGTTAATGCATATTTTATTTAGTTATACAGAAACCTTGATGGAGGTCACATGTGCAGTACATGGGCCAGATCACTGATAATAACTGCTTTTCTGTTCAGAGCCTGAATCTTCATTTTTCATGAATACGCAGAGTGTTAAAACTAATTAGTTCTATTACACAGATGGAAGTGAATGATAGTCCTGCAGTAAGGGATGGCTTAGTGGTCTATGTACTAGATTTGAAAGGTTTTGATGTCAGCAGGAGTGACTGAGTCCTTTATCCCTATTAGGTAGATATATTAAGTTTTATTCAGTTTACTGTAAGAATGCAACTTTAAAAGAAGTTCTTGTCTGCTCTGCATTAACATGAAATGTCTTTGCTGAAATCCTGACCCCCACTGAAATCAATGGGAGTTTTGATATGGGCATCAGTGGGACCAGGATTTCATCCCTTGTGACTTTTTAAAAATAGGACTATGGGTTTTCCCCAGGGTTCCTGGCCAAAATGTTTCTTTCCCAGCTCTTGTTGTGTGGTATGTTCTATGCCTGTTGTCAACTAACTGCCAATCTTCTGCCATAGAGGTGGCTGCATGATGCTCACATATAAGTTTTTATAATTTATTATTAATTTCTGGTGACGTGTGATACATTTTCTAAACAAAGAAGGCATGATTCCTGCCCAAGTGAGCTCACAATGTAAAGAATATAGGGCTAAATTTTCAAACTAGCACAAAAAAGTATGCATATTTGCATGTGTAATTTGTACACATGAACACCAAGTTGTGCAAGCAGTTCTGTTAAAATATATGGAAATGACCAGTCATACATCTAAGTTGCCCTTTGTATATCAATTTATTACGACAATTGCAAGCTTAATTGTAGTAACTGTGTGCACAAGCCAGGCATGCATACACGTGGGCATTTTCACAAATTTCTGGAAACTGGGTTCCATAAATCACTTATGGATTTTTGGGATAAAAATACTATATGAAAATAAGTTAGTGAATTTTAATTGTGCATCAGTTTATTTTTACTCTTTTTAGGTATCACAGTCAGATAGTCAATCTGAAGATAAGAAACAGAAGGAAAAGAAACTGCAAAGAGATAGAGAGACTCATGACATGGTTGATTACAAAGGATACATACACAAGGATCAAGACAAGGACAGAGGAAAGGCAAAAGAAAGGACAGGTGAACGAGAGAGATTTAAATCTAGTGAAAGAGACAGGGATAAGCTAAGAGAAAGGGGAAAAGATCATCACAGAGAACGAGAGAGAGAGAAATTGAAGGAGAAGGACCAAGAAAAAGATGCAGAGAAGGAAAAACACATTACAAGAAAAGATAAAGAGAAGGCAAGTGATAAAGAAAGAGACAGAAAATATAGGAGGGATGATCTGAAGCCAGTGCTTATACAGAATAACCTGAAAGCATCTGGAGGAAGGGATAAAGAACAACGCAGAAGAAGAGAAAGCAAGGATCAATTGGGTACGCTGGCTTGCTTTGCTGTGCATATTTTGAAGTATTTCACTTTATAGATAGACATGGACTGAAACCAAACCCCTATCTTTGCAGGGAGCATAATGTCAGTGGGCACTGGGTGCCTAGCTGCCATGTGTGCATTTGAAAATCTTACTCAGTAACCCAGTTTCATTTTCACGGCTCCCAGGTTCTCAGCTGCCTCTTTTCCTTCCCAGTGAGTTACTGACTATAGTAGTTTTTGGTATTAATTAATTCTAACATAGTGGGTGACTTATAAGTCCCTATATGAATACAGGGCTTCTCCGTTGGGTAATGCTATCAGGTGCCTGAACTCTGTATGAAATTGTAGTGTAATTATTGATGAGTGATAGCAGGAGGTATCATAGTTCCTACCATCATGCAAGAGGGAATGGAGTCTCTCTCAAGAACCTCTCTTTAGACAAACCCCCAGATACAGTAACTCCTCACTTAATGTTGTAGTTATGTTCCTGAAAAATGTGACTTTAAGCAAAACAATGTTAAGCGAATCCAATTTCCCCATAAAAATTAATGTAAGTGTGTGTGTGTG